TAAATAGTGAAATTCAAGACCAGAGAATGAAATGGTATTGGAGACTAAATTCTGAGCACTCCGTACACAAAAGACCGTGAATGATGGTGAAAGCCCAAAATCCATTTGCAGGGTCCCTCTGTGGGTTACGCCTCTGGTGTCTCCTCTGACTGCTGACCAGGCGTGTGATAGCTTTGTTGTCAGAAAGTGCACTGGAAGTGGACTCATGCAGCTCGTCAGGCTAAAATTTAACACCTTATTACTTGTTCTCCCTTTTGCCCTATTTTAAGATCATTCTAGTTTTTATTATTTTCTGTTTTCTTTTCAACTTAGGTTTTTTGTTTTGTTACTGTTGCTGTTTTTTGTTTTTATATGCTTTTCTCTCTGAAATCCTCCATAGGTAACTGGATTCATCGTTTCTTGGCATTATGACAGTTCGTGGGCTAGAAATGGGGAACTAATAATAATGAGTACAAGGAAGAAGAAAAGGTTCTAAAATTGATTGTGGTGATGATTGTACAACCCTTTAATATGTTTAAATTATTGAACTGTATGTTAATAAAACTTTAGAAAATTTAAACCATATACATGTACTCTAGATGATTTGGGAAATAAGGTAACATTGAAAATCTAAAAAAAAAATTGAAAGCAGACTTATGTGAGAGGTGAACCAAAACCAAACCCACAGCTGTTTAACTGATTGAGCTCAGGGTGGACCTATAGGAAAGCTGCCGCAAAGGGTTTTCAAGGCGATACATTTTTCTGGAAGCAGATTTCTCCTGTGGATCAGCTCCTTCACTTCCGTGGAGTCAATTCTGATTCTCAGTGGTACTGTAGAGCAGAGAAGAACAGCCCCTGTGGGTTTCCTGTGCGATAAACCTTTACAGGAGCAGAAAGCCTCATCTTTCTCTTGAGAAGCAGCTGGTGGGTTCAAACCTCTGTCTCAGCTAGCTGGCTTGTGTGCTGAACCACTGCACCACCAGGGCTCTAATAACTGACAAGAAATTTACATAATGTTATGTCTTAACTCATTTTTATAAAAGTTAAGAGATTTCCAATTTGGAATTCAGAGAGTGATTGCCAATTTAAAAAATCACTCAATACCTTTTTAAAATGGAGGCAGAACATCTTTGCTTTGAAATGTGAAAAAATGTAGATTGTAAAAACTTTTTAAGGAATGATATTTATTATAAAAGACCTAAGGATGTATACTAAAACTTGTCTTTAAAAAACCCCTAATGTTTTGCTTCTGCAGCATCAGCCACCTTACAAATCCGCATAGAGTACTTTCTTAAGAGAACCTTACTCTCCATTATGTTCATAATAAATAATAATTTCTGGCATTCATTTGCTTTGATCAGCATTTTTGAGCAATTACTGCCCTGGGGTTACTGACAGGATCTATGACCTCAAAGAGCTTGATATTTTAATCTTTCCTTTCTCAAGTTTCTAGCGCTGTGTGTGTTCAAGCAAGCTTCTGTCTTCCTTCCCTAGTCTTAGCGTCCCTCCCGTCTATCTTTTCCACTAATGGAGTAATTTTTCTATAACATGAATCCGATAGTCATTTCTAGCTTAAAGTTTTAGTGGTTCATTCATTGTCCAGGATAAAGGCAAAACCCATTTTTCTAGTCTACCAAGTCTTACATAAGGGTGTTTCTAATGAAGTCTAGTCAGACCATCTCCCTTCGCTGCTCCCTCATTCAAACGAAGCTTCTTGCCACGTCCCAAACAAGTATTACCTTTTGGACCTTTGCGCCACTGTTTCTTCTGTCCAGCATGCTTTTCTCTCATCCTCTTGATGGCATTGTCAGGTGCCTACCTTTAAGGTTTGGCTCATAGGCCACTTCCAGGAAAACTACCTTAATTACCCCAGGAAGAAAGTCCCTTCATCGTGCTTCCATAGCATTCATGTATTCTAACCTATCTAATGTTGTTTTGAAGTGATTATGGAAGCATTTGCCCCTCTTACTAAACTCTAGTTCCTTGAAGGCAGGAAATATACTGCTTTTAGTTCTTTATTTCAAGTTTCAGGATCCATATTAATGTAGCTATTGTTTTGACTTTAACCAGTAAAAACCATTTGCATTTTGAACCCACTGTGTGTCAGGGTAAAACTGTGCTCCATAAGGTTTTCAGAGGCTGAGATTTAGAAAATAGATACCCATGGCTTTTCTCAAGATGCCTCTGAATGGACTTGGGCCAACAACCTTTTGGTTAAGCAGCCAAATGTATAAACTATGTATTACCACCCAGGGACTCATGTTTTGGTACCTTTAGGTGCCCTTATATGCATTTGTAGAGACTGAGAGGTATGCAGGCACATTTTTCGCTCTCCTCTAAATTATTTATTCCCAACCCCCAAAATGAACACCAGTTGTCATCTGAATATCAAATTCAATATTAGTCATTTAGCATAGTGTCATTAGTCAATGAATAGCACACACCAGAACCAGGACTGCCATGGTAATGGTGAGGCTGCTTTGGTATTGAATAGGGAGCTGTTGGGACTGAAGGCAGGATGACCAGGTGACTGACTGCACTGTCTTCTGCTTGTCAGTTCTCTGTCTTTAGAGATACTATACCTTTCCCCCGCAAAGGTAATCACATAGCCTAGTTCCTGAATGTTGTTAAGTAGAAAATTTCAACTGCTTTTTCAACAGTCAGCATAATTATATATTATACATTTAATATTAGACTATTGCAAATTTAATATCCTAAAATTCAACTTGATTAAAAACCTGTGTATTCCTTTTCTCTAAGGTAAGAACTCAGGGCCCTATCCTCACAGCAAGTGGCAAAAATCCTGTCATGGAGCTTAATGAAAAAAGAAGAGGTCTTAAGTATGAACTGATCTCAGAGACTGGTGGAAGCCACGACAAACGCTTTGTGATGGAGGTGTGTGCTTAGATACAAGCCAGCTCTATGTGTTTCCTCAGAAATATAGGATACCCCAGATTTAGATAAGGGGGCTTCAAAGAGTTCTTAGAAAAATACCATTATCTTTTCATTCTTTTTTTCCCCAAAACCCTTTTGAAGCCTCCTCAAATAATAGACTGAACTAGTTGTTGTGGCACTATTTGACTTTTGGTGCTTTTTATGTGGAGAGATTTAAATGAACACTTTATGGAGGAAATGTATGAACTAATTGAAAAATACTGTTGTTGATTTTAGGTAGAAGTAGATGGGCAAAAATTCAGAGGCGCAGGTCCAAATAAGAAAGTGGCGAAGGCAAGCGCAGCGCTAGCTGCCCTCGAGAAGCTGTTTTCTGGACCCAATGCAGCAAATAATAAGAAAAAGAAGATTATCCCTCAGGTATGAGTTAGCATTAAATCTTTGCAATACTTCAAAAATATTATAACAATTAAATTTCTTTCCCCTATCTTTGTACCATTTCAGCCTTTTCTGAACTATTTCCTTTTCTTAGAGTTGGCAGCCTTTTCTTTGGATTAGGTTAGGGAATAATAGAATAATATAAATCTGGTCAATGGGTCCTTGTTCTGTCATCTTCCTAGGCCCCTCCCCCCAAATTAAAGTTATTATTATTTTAGGAGGTGGGGAAGAAGTCTTAGTAAAATGTTGAGGTGATTTGAACTTTATCAGGGTATTAACATTATAGAGCTTCTGGAAATATTTGGGTCCTATTTTACCATAGTCTACAGGTGCTTTCCCCATTTCCTTTCCATATTTTTGTCCTTTGCTTTGTTATGGGTTTTAATTGGGGAGGTGGGGTGGCACAGTAGAATTTGACACTGTGTCCTTTGATTCATTATTGGCACTGGGGATGTCGATGCTACTGAAGGCCTCAGTTCACAACAAGGTACTTAGAAATTCTGGCTTTTGTATCCTTCACCATATCTTATCTTCCACTCAGCCAAGTTACACAGTCACACAATATATCCCAAACACATAGCACATGCACATTATGAGGAAAAAAGGCTTGAGTAAATAAATATGATACATTCTCTGTCTCATGAAGAGTTCTGGTGTACTCGTGTCTGAATATATCATGTGTTAGAACCAATCAAGTAAAATTACTAATATGAAATTTAGATTATTTAAACTTTTATGTTAAGTATTGTGTTCAATTTCTTTTACATAGGCTAAGCCCTTTGTAAGAGTAGAACACATCTCATTTTACAAATGAGGAAACCAGACCTCTAGTAAGATATTTGCTGTAGCAACATTGCAGTGGGGAGTGAAGCGGGGTGGTGGTGATGATGTACGATGATCCTAGTTGCCATCAGATTGGTTCCAGTGGAACTGTTCCCTTGAGTTTTTAAGGCTGTGACCTTTTGGAAGCCGATTTCCAGGCCCATCTTCTAAATCACCTGTGGTTGTGTTTCAGCCTTCAAGTTTTTGGCAAACGGTTGAGCATTCAACTGCTTTGTGTCACCCAGAATCTCTTAATTGATGGTGTAGTTTCCCTTTACAGCCATGCTCTTGCCCTTCAAGAACTTAGTCTTTCTACTGCTGCATTTCATATTGCTCTTAGACATGTGCTATGTCTTCATTTAAACTTCTTGTGTTTACTACATTAGATGGCAGCTTCAATTCTAAGGTTCAAAGCTATTACAGAAAACTAACTTTACTTGGACAAAATAAAAGTAAGGTCATTACAATTACAACAGTACACATAAAGTGGATTTTATTTTCTTAAAATCTATCACATAGAACAAAATATGTTCTAAATTACTACCAAGATAATCGTTACCTTGTTTGGTGTGTTTTCCCCCATGGGTCACCTTTTGTATTTGATCAGTTCCCATAGCTTTGGTCCTCCTTTCTTTGTCCTGTTTTTTGTTTGTTTGTTTTCCACATTCAAGTTTATAGCTGATTCTAGGTGATCTGCTGTTAGGATATTTTCTGACCCTGGACAGAGAATTCAGTGGATTTTGTACCTACATGTCAAGTGTCCATCATTACCTCTTGTAATCTGCCATCAAGTAGGTCCTGATTCATGTGACCCCTTGAACTAAGGAGCTGAATGCTGCTCTGTCCTGGCCTATCCCATTGATAAGTTGTGGATTGAACCTTTGTGATGCATAGGGTTTTATCGATTGGCTTTCAGAAGTAGATGGCCAGGCCTTTCTTCTTGTCAGTCATAGTCTGAAAGCTATGTTGCAACCTTTGAAGCTTTATATTAACACTCAAGCCTCCACTGACTGCTGTGTGGTGGCTGCACATGAGGTGGATTGGCTGGGCATCAAACCCACGTCTCTTGCATGGAAGGCAAGAATTCCACTACCAAACCACTGATGCCTCGCAGTTCTTTGGCAGGGCTAGCATGACTGAATGTAATTTGACCACTGAAAGTTGTCTGTAGAAACTATACTCTTTCTGCATAATCGTTCAAAAGGATATGCTTTTCACATGCTTTTATGTGCGCAGCATGCGTTCTCAGAACAGTTCTGTAAGGTAGATGTCATTTTCACTGTACAGCTGATAAATGTTGAAAGGCACTGAAGAGCTCATTCTCTCACATTACAACTCAAGTTTCTCAGTTTGTAGGTTAAAGAGGCAGTAGGATGGTCGTTCTTACTTCTGTCACTAATGAAAATGTGTTGTTTTTATCAGGCAAAGGGTGTTGTGAATACAGCTGTGTCTGCAGCAGTCCAAGCTGTCCGTGGCAGAGGAAGAGGAACTCTAGCAAGGGGAGCTTTTGTTGGGGCCACAGCTGCTCCTGGCTACATAGCTCCAGGTATAGTACAACCTCCATGAGTTTGCCTCCTTCTTTTGGGCCAACCTTTGAAGAACAGCGCCTTCTCCTTTTCTGAGGTTATCAAGTAAAAAATAGGTGTACACAGAAATTCAAAACAAGTGAGATTACAAAATTCCGTGGGTTTTCTCATGGAATCTGTTCAGGCTACTGGAGGGAAATGACAGAGGATTGCACTTGATTGAGGGAACACATTTGGACTTTAAGGAACCTGAGAGATGTACCAAAGAGAGAGGAGTTTAGACACTGAGCAGTAGCTACTCAGTGGGGACCTGGAATATATGTTGGGTATAACAGGAGAGAAAAACTGTTGCTAAGAGGCTACCTAGACTATTGCATTGTTAGCCATAATGAATAATGCCATATGGCATTATTATTAGTAAAGATTGGCATTAATAGCATTTGTTTAATAGAATATTTGGGAACCATGGACGATTGTAAGAGAGAAAGAACAGTAAGAGGAGGAACGTGTTCATACTGTGGCTTCATCTGGTTGGGTCTGGTTGCGGTGGTCTTGGAAAGTGTATCTCCTGTAGGACTATAAACAGGTTGTTGCCATTTGGTGTCCATAACCTGAAAGGAATTACTGTAGAAGACTCTGAGACTCAGGTTAAATAGCATTATACATTTCCAAGCCACATTGCTGATTGAAGTCAAGATTAGAACCTAAATCATCTGATTATCGACTAGCTTACTTGTAATTTCGCCTCTCTTTAATTCTTTCCTGGAATATATCTACAACCTGCATTTTTAAACATTAATTTCTCCTTTGATCTCTGGTCCCTTCTTTCTGTCATTTGATTCAGCTGCATTATGTCCTCTTAAAGTATATGAATGGGCTTAAAAATTCCATGAATAAATATATTGAAAAGATCATGGAAATTTTTCATGAGCTTTTTGAAGCAACTTTTATAAGGATTAGTTGTACTATTCCAAATTTGATGTGACATAAGTAGGGACTAAAAATGTGACAACTCTTTATCCCTCAGCAAATGCTTCCATCTATCCCTAAAAGCAGCTCATTTATTTAGCATACATTTCAATGCTTTTTCCCAAATGAGATTTGGAACTGGGCACTCACAGATGACCTGAGACCTAGCCACTGCCCCAGAGAATGCTTGCAGTCAGATGGGTTGGGAACTGGCACTTGAATAAACACAGTGTAGTATGGTGCAGGCTCAGTTGGACAACAGTACGAACCACCAGCATGGGAAATTGCAGAGAGGCTCCTGATCCTCAGAAAGAATAGTAGTTGCTCCGTGGGAAGAGGACGAGGTCCTGAGCAGCAGACCTGGACTGTAGAGAGAGATTTTAGTGTGAAAAGGCTTGATAGATTTGGTTCAGTGTGAAGGACCCATGCCTATTTTGTTTCCTTGGTTTACTCTAGAAACCAATTTTTCCTAGAGGTTTACCCATATGATTTTTTATTTATATGTTTTCAATAAAGATTTAAGATAGCAGCTTATATTCCCATAGTATTCTGATCCCGACAACAACACTGTACCGCAGCCTGGGTGGGAGGTTTCCTAGTCTACAGTTGAGAAAATGGTGAGGCAGATGTTTTATGTCCAGTGACATACAAGGGGGCTTCAAAAAGTTTGTGGAAAAATTGTACTAAAAGATAACAGTTCAGTCATGGTGCAGTATAGCACTGACGAAACAAACATCATTCCTCTAGTTCCTGAATGCCCCCCCCCTTTTATTAATCATTTTATTGGGGGCTCATACAACTCTTACCACAATCCATACATACATCAGTTGTATAAAGCACATTTGTACATTTG